AATAAACAACCATCCACTTCCCCTGCTTCCAGACTCAGTGCTCCCTTTGCTCAGTGCTTCCTTTGCTCAAACTCATAACTTCACTAAAGTCTAGAACATTTCAGTGTTGCAAAAGGAAGAGTTAAAGACAGAGGTTTTTTTTTAAAAAAATACATCATGTCCATTAATATATGTTACTCTATATTGAGCTGAATAGGAAACTTACAATGAAGAGCTGGTCTCAGAAAGCATAGTGAAGTGTTTTGGATTACATCATGCTCCTTGACAGATTACTTGTGTCCTCTTTACGAGTGGAAACAAATGAAAAACTGCCCATCAAATGACAATTGCTGTATGCCATGAAGAAGTTAGGGCTATTACTTCTGTCACTGTAAAATAGTTTTCTTGGCAACAACACAGAAATGGCTTGCCACTGTCTTCTTCCAGGATATTTTTTTCAACTTTCCACATTAGCCTACAATTCTATTATTTCTAAGTGGTCTCCTATCCAGCTGCTAACCCAGACCAATCCACCTTAGGTTTTTGAGATTAGCTAAAGTTAGTTAAGTACATCAAGATAAATATAAATTTGTTTCAGTCCTAACTTCAGAAGCAAAGGACCAGGAAAATTGAGCCAGACCTACTCTGCAGAACTGAGGCAGTAACATGGTTCAGGAACAGAAATCTTCTGCCCAATATTTTTAGCTTCTGAGCTATATTAAGTGTATACTTGGAGTGCAATAGAGCTCCAGGGTCAGTCCTCTTAAAAGGATTGCTTGGGCAACATTTTAACATGGGGTGGGAAGCATTAGGCTAACAATCAAAGTCATATTATATAGGGACAGGCAGGATTTTTAGCTTTAGAACAGTGTATGGAGTTATATAAACTGTTTTTAAACAATGCTAAGCGTACAGGTAGTCCTCAAGTTATGACCATTCGTTCAGCAACCATTCAAAGTTACAATACTGCTAAAACAATGAACTTACAACTGGTCCCCAAAGTTACGGCCATTGCAGCACCTCCTCCAATCACGTGATTGTGATCTGGGTGCTTGGGAACCCGTTCACACTTACAGTGGGTTGCCAAGCACCACACGATCATGTAATCGCCATTTGTAACCTTCCCTGCCAGCTTCCCACAAGCAGAGTCAAGGGGGAAGCTGGGAGGGAAGGTCGCAAGTCACTTGGGTAAGTCATCCCCACCCATCCAGGCCTTTCTTCGCTCGCTTGCTTGCTCACACACACCATATCCTCCTTCCCCCCTTCACTTGCGTGCATGCACTGCGCCCTCCTTCCCCCTTTGCTCACTCACATGTACACACCACTCCCTCCTTCACTTGCTCACGTGCACCACACCCCCTTTGCACTGCGCTGTGGCTCTGGGGCTTTGCAGGAGGAAGGAGAAGGCCTCACAAATGGCCAGCAGCTTCCAACGTGAGCTGCAGAGCATGCGCCAGAAACACCCCTGCACCTGGAAGTGTCCCTGGGGAGTCCTTGAGTGAGCAAAGGAGGACGCAGTGCGTGCAAGCTCACAGTTCTATGCCCACACGCTAAACCTCAACCCATAAAGCAACCCCCACAACTGCAACCACATCTTTTCCCCACCTCCTGCCCCCCTTCTCCACTACCTTCCCAGCCTCCATTAGCACACATACACACACATCCAGGTCAGGCCATCCCTCTTTCTTCCTCACCCCTCTTTAAGGTGGGGCTGGGGTGACCGAAAGCAAAAGGTACAGATGGACCCCTCCTTGTTACTGCAGAGAGTGTGTTTGTGTATGTGCGGGTGCACTTCTAAGCCTGAAAGACGCAGTGTGGAAGAGCAGCCATCTGCTCACTGGAACACAGTTCTGACTTCAGAAAAAAACAGTTTGGGGAGGAACTCCAACACGTTGGGAGCTGGCCGGCCACTGAGCCTGCCTCGCTGCCAGAGCCCAAGCCTAGAGGACTTGCGAGATCCCTCCTGCCAGAGGGACTGAAAAAAGAAGCTGGGCGAAAGCTCAGATGCTCAATTGGATCCATGCCCCAGACTTTGCCCTGCGTGGTCCTGGCAGCGGGAGACTGAAACAGACACTCTCCCTGTGTACCTTGGCTCCAGTCACACCATAATCTCAGCAGGGGCTGCCATGGCAACGGCTCCGGCCTCCACCCACTTGGCAAAGCACCCATTTGGGCTTTCTCATTCTCTGAATTACAAAACAGTGGGAACTCTCCTCTTCATCTCTCTCCCTGCACGCTCATGTTCGCCAGTGAAAGCTCAAGCTAAGGATAAGTGTCTACTGCACATGCCAGCCTCCCCCCCCCACCCGAAAGTGGAAGAATCTGACAAATCTCATCTACTGCCAGTTCTGGATCAGGTGAGATAGACCTGGGTGCCAAGATTAAATCAATACATTTAACTGAACTCCTTGTTTTGGCAGAGGAATCAGGCATTTCACATCTCCTTCTCTCTCTCCTCCCCTCTCTTTTTTTTTTTGTAAAATATGTAAAATAGAAACACACACATACACATTTTGCAACATGTATGAAAAGTATCCTTGGTGGATTGCCAAGATTAAATCAATACATTT